ACATAATTAAATAACAAATATATATATATATATATAGAACATTTTAATTTCATAAAAACATGAACATAGCATCATATTAGCTCCACAATAGTAACTTGTCTTTCCATAATAGCGACATACTATTATAGAATTTAAACAATTATAAGAAAACTAGTTTCACCATAAATATTAGACCATTACAAATTAAAACTAAAAACTAACCAACAAGAGCAATAAAAGAAGATCTTGTCTAGGTTTAAGTTTGGGTTTAGGTTTTGTATGAAATTGTGACAACCCTCACCACTGATTAGTGCTAATCTATGATTAAGCATGTTAACTGACTGATTGATTGAAATTTTGAACTGATTGATTGAGTGTGTTAGTTAAATGCATTTCTATCTGTCTGTCATTGAATTATCTGTTCGTGTTTTAAGTTTCGAACTGTAAATTGAACGCCTTATCGGCGGCTGAAATTGAAATTGATTAATGTTTTATGCTAATTGGAATTTATGTGATTTTATTATTTAATTGAAAATTGATTTGGTATGATTAATTTGGATTAAATAAGCTAATTATCAAAGTTGGACTTATTTACAAGAATGCCACTTGGTGGACAATTCCATGAGCCATTTGTTTGATTTCTTTATGTTAGCTTTATCACATTTCCTCAGCCATTTTCCTTATACACAACCGACTAGAGAGAGAGGGACTTAGGAGAGAATTGTTTTCATCTTGTTTTTGCTTGGAGTCTTGAAGAATTGAAGAGAGAATTGGCGAATTGAACTTCTAGACTTGGAATTGGAGACCTAAGGTAGGACATTTACCTTTTTGTTTGTGAATTCAAGTTAGTTCTTGCATGATTCATGGTAGATAGGAGTCTAAGGTCATAAATTGGTTGAAGATTGTTGAATTGAAGCTTATACCATGCATGCATGTGCATATCTTGAAATTTAGAGTTGTTTTCATGGAAATTATTGTATGCATGTCCATATTTGGGTTATAGTCCATGAATTCATCATGTTTAGGAGTGAATTAACTCATTTGATCATGCATTGGGAGCTTTGAAGTTGATTAAATTCATGCATGTTGCATGTTCATCATGTTCTTGAAGTTTTGATGAAATTGTGTTTTAATTAGACTACCTTTGGGCTTTGATTTCTCAAATTGATCTTCAAAACATGTTATATTATGGGTTTAAAGTGTTTTTCCAGAAAATGGGCCCAAGAGGTTGAGTTTTGATGCATTAAAGTTGAGTTTTGAGCTTGAGGTTCAAATTTGGAGATTCTAGATTTTGGACTCATACTCGAGCGAGGAACTCCACGCTCGAGCGTACGCCTTGTGTTCATGCAGTTCGCTCGAGCGTAGAAAGTGGCGCTCGAGCGTGAAATGCATGTATTCAGTGCTTTGCATGTGTTTACAGTCCGCTCGAGCGAGAGAGTTCACGCTCGAGCGAGGACTAGTGTCTCACGCTTGAGCGTGTATCGAGCGCTCGTCGAGCATGATTTTTGTGCATCCAGTACTTTTACTATAGCTTACAGTCCGCTCGAGCGGCAGAAGTCACGCTTGAGCGGAGATCATTTGTCTGCGTGTCCGCTCGAGCGTAGAAAACCACGCTCAAGCGAGACCCCTGTTTTCTGAAAATTCTGAAAAGTGTTTGAAAGTGCATCTTTGCATCCTCATTCCATCCTAGGCATTCTTAGGCCTAGTTTAAGGCATCTTAATGATGATATTGATGTAGAACCACACCGAGGTAAATTAGGAATTAAGTTATTATTTCTCAACTGTGTAGCTTAGTGTGTGTTCATTATGTAACTGTAGGGTTGGCATCCGAGGACGCTCTAACTGCTTAGCCCAGTACTCTGTGAGTAACAATGTTGTAAAGATATGTTCAATTGAGATTGATTTCTGAACAAAGACTGTACTGCTTTATGAAATGACACTGTTTACTAAATAAATGTTTGTCCTATTTGTGAACTGTATTCGTGGCATCTATAGCAATTTATTGTTACTAAACTGTTACTGCTACTGTTACAGAGATCTCTGTCGGTTCCCATGTATGGAACCACTACTGTTTACTGATATGATGGCCATCATTGACTGCCCGGTCTGTTAAGACCTACTGTACTGCTTTGCTATTGGATGTACCACATATGACTATTATAATTTCTGAATGACTGTTATGGCATGAATTATGAACCACAAACTGAATGACTGATATACTGATAAATGACTGTTTTTAATACTGAAAGCATATCCATTCTTAACCTCTTTACGCATATGTTATTCACTGGGCTTTAGCTTACTATTTATATATACATGTAGGTGTTCCGGATCGGAGTTAGGAGCGTCGGATTAGCTCTTGTTTTGTCAAGCCAACCATCGTGCCTCACCTTGAGGTTCCAAGCGCTGCCAAGCTAAGGCTACTTTGGGGTGTTTTAGATTCGCCCTTTCTATATCTGTTTTGTATAGACTGAATGATATTTGTACTGTACTGTTATGGTAGGGACTTGGTCCCCTAACCTGAATGACTGTATAGGATGTTTGTATATACTGTTTTGTCCTGAATGTGAATATGTTTTAAAAAGTCTTTTTGCATTCAGACTGTCACAACTCATTGGATATCGTTTAATTACTGTTTTGGCTTCCGCCAGCCCCTGTACTCTGTATTACTGTTTTACTGTTAAGCAGGGCTTCGGTAATCTCGGATTACTGGCCAGTTACGGTGCTAAACCCATAGGGGCGGGTTTGGGTCGTGACAGAAATAAGAGAAGATACTATGCCGAGAGGGTGTATAATATAAATATAGGCCATATATGGTTCGGATTGGTTCCAATCCGAAATTGTGGGATTCAATTTGAAATTGATCCGTAGACTATAAATTTTTAATTTTTCAATCCAGAACTGAACCATGGATTCAAAAAATCAATCCAAACCTACTAGATTAAACTGAACCGGATTGAATTACGAATTTTACGAATTCCTCACTCAGCCCTACATTAAACAACCCAATTCAACTACTATATTTGTCCACACACAATATATTTATAATCTTTGTATCATTAACCAGATGACACCTCGTGCAAATATTTTTCTTAATTTTAATTGTTGTACATATTTATTTGTGAAATACAATTTTAAATAACACCAAATATTTGATTAATTAATTGTGATACTGATGGGCACTCAAGGGGGCCCATCCCATGGCTTAAGGCCCAACTCACGGCCGAGGTATTAAAGCCTACCAACTTTGAGAAGCTAATGCTGGGCCAGGACTAATATCATTTAAACATTTGTCAAGCAGGGAATTAGCCACGTAAGCAGATAAAAATCCTGTAAAGTTATTGCACCCACATATCAGCCATTTAATGAGGCCACTATAACATTAAATGCAGCAAGACCCCTCACACTGGAGTATGTAGAATCACCATGAACGATGTTAATTAGGCCATAGAATTTCGGCCAACAAGACAGCTAAGAATGGATAAGGAAATAATGAGCAAAGGATACAAGAAAGCTTTCGAAATACATTAGAGATTATTAAAGTTTTTCATCCCCATCGTCTCTCTCTCTCAAACCAATTACTATTGGCCCTAATCCAACTTGATTGTCGGAGTGTCCGTCGGGAGAGTACCTCCCCCTTTGGACCTTTTTTCAGATATGCATCGATGATTCAATAACTAGCAGACTCATAGAAGACGCGGGCTAGTCCGACCCATCCACCATTGATATCACACCATCATCAAATTGCATTGCATCAGGTCAAAATTGGGAATAAATAATAAATTTTATTTGAAATTATAAAAAATTAGAGTTATATGTTCACTAATAATTTTTTCGTTATGTATTTTTAATCCATCCAACCTATTCAACTAAATTGGTAGAAAATCAACAAAATATTCAATCAATATATAGATTTTAAAAATGAATAAATTGTCAATAAATTAAAAAAATCTCAATTCATTAAAAATAATTCAATTTATGGCTATATTTGGCATGTTGTTTTGGGGTTATTTTAGCTACAAAATAAGTTAAAAAGTCAATAAGACAAAATATCACATTTTTAAATAATAATCATATAAAAAATAAAAAAGTTCATTTTAAACAAAAAATTTTAATTTCAAATTAAAATAACTAAAAAATTAACCGACATTTCAGATGAAGACTATATTATATTAGAGTTTCAATTTAAATTACATATAAACTTATTTCAAAATAAAAATAATTAAATCTGATTGGATTGAGGTCAATACAATACCATACAGCCATGACAACATCAATCAAACCATATTTATAAATGACTATGTGCCAAACGTAGCCTAAGCAACACGAATTAAAGCCATAACCACCATTGCTGTTGATGTAATCACACCATCTCGAAAGCAAATTTTGGGCCCTAAGAGCATCTCCAACGGTTCACTAAAATTTTTATTAAATTTGAGTAAAAAAATAATTTTTTTCTCAATCTGATACTGAGTGTTCCAACGGTTGATTTTCATCAATGCTCCAACGGTTCTGTGTCGGGACAACTGGTTGGTCGACCGGCCGGTCGACCGAGTAAGCCAAAATTTTTTTTTGAACTGTTTGAACCTTTTAGTGGTCGACCGGTAAGGAAATTTTATTTTTTTTTTTTCAATTGTTTGAATTTTTTTTGGAACAGTTTGAACCTTTTGGTGGTCGACCAGTTGGTCAACCGACTGGTCGACCGGTTAGTTTCCCCCAACGGTCATGCACAGTGTTTTGGTGAAATACGAAACCTATCCTCCTTTTGGTGAAACGTTTGGTGAATTTTCGATTTAATATCAATTTGATAAAATTGTTGAAACTTCAAACAGTACTTTTTTTTATCAAATTTCAAATTTAATGTTAGACTTAGTGAAGAGTTGGAGATGCTCTTAAAAATAATTAAAAAATTAAGTTGCAGTAAAAAAATTGGTCCCAAACGAACGGGTGACACAGGAGATTCTTCCCCATCGTTACTCATTTTATTGGCTGTCACTTTCTCCATCCAAAAAACACAACTAGGGTTTCTTTTCGGAATCTCTATCTCTATCTCTATCTCTGTCTCTGTCTCTGTCTCATATCTGAGAGAAAAAAGATATAAAAAAAAAGATTGAATCAATTGAAGAAGAAAGGACCACAAAAACAAAGAATCGGCTTTCTTACTGTGATCAGATTCTTCTTCTGCTTCATCAAAATCGCTCTGTCTCTCTCTCTCTCTCTGTCAGTGATCAGTGATCGATAGCGTCGACTGAGACGCATACACTGAGAGAGGATGGGAAGAGGAAAGTTCAAGGGCAAGCCCACTGGTCGACGCCAGTTCTCCACCCCCGAAGAGATGAGTATGCTTCTCTCTCTCTCTCTAGATTTACGTGGCTTGTTTTGGGTTTCTTTTCATAGCTAGATCTGGGTTGGTTGAATTTCGTGATTTATATGTAGATTAATGGAATGATTAGATGATTTACTGTTTCTTTTTGTTGTTGTTTTTGTGATTTGGATTTAGTTTGCTCATTCTCTCAAGTTGATTTTTGATTTCTGTTTTCAGTTACTTCAAAAAGTTAACTTTTCTTCATTATTCTTTTGCGGATTGTTTTTCATTTAATTTTTTTATTAATATTAAAATTACATCCACTTTCTATACCACTGATGTGTCATCAGGAGGATGATCTTAGAAAGTGGGTTTAAACCATTCATCTTCACTGCGTCTAGAAAGTGAGTTTAAACAGTGGGTTTGTATATAATTTTCCTTTTTTTTATTATTGGGCAAATTACAGTCCCTATCTTTGGTCCTTCTGTCATTTAGTCCGGTTAATTTTAATTAATTTGATTTTGACTATGAATTTATGAGTTTGTCTCAATTTGGTCTAATTAATTATAATTGTTAGCATTTTCTTTAGGAAAGTACCGCAAATAAGTGGCTTGTGTTGGGTCGCTAGGGACACAAAATTATAAACTTGCTCAACTCGGTAAGTTAACCGCAACCAACTAAATGATGATTTTTTGTCAGAAATCCTAACGACTTTATCAATTGAAGTAAATTGACACAAAATCTAAAATTAAGAATCAAAATTGAGTCACTTGAAAGTATAGGGACCAAATGACACAAGGGGGCTACCAGTATAATTTGTCTGTTTTTATTTTTCATTTTTACAAGTTAACCTAGTTTCATTTACTAATTGAAATTTTTGGGTGCAGTATTGCATAGTAATTGATCTAATAGAACATAGACTGAAAAACATAAGTTTTGGTTAAATGATCAACTGGGCAGGTGACCACCTAATGAATGTCCAAAAATCTGGTTCGCTTTATTTAGTCAAATCAGTATCATATGATATGGTTAATACTGGGGTTATTTGTGCATTATCAAGGTTATTTATTAATTACTATATTTATAAGTAAGTAGACACCGCATACCAAAAGGTTTTTTGGTCTCCATGGTTGTTTATGGAGGGAAGCGCGGGTGCTTTTGTCTTTTCATTTTCTAAGGGTGCTTGGTGTTTAAGTAATTGCACAATGCTAGAGTGGAAATAGGGACCACCGGAAGAGCTCTTTTTATGAAGCTTATTGGGCTGCTTATAATTGCTCCTTCTTCTCCTTCTAGGAGAGGGCTTAATGAGTGGATGTTTGAGGTTAGCTTATATAGGAGATAAAAACGTTAATGAGTTTGAGGATGGTTTTTTAGTTGTATTGTATCATTGTATGTGAAAACGTTTTGTTTTTTGCTTGAATTTCCTATTTTACTCTTCCAAAAACGCCTGTGCACTCATGAAGGTAATTTGGTATTCTCAAACTAGTATAAAGATTCCCTAGCTTTTTTTGGTGCATGCCAAACATATTTTGGCTTTTTGAATTTTTTAGCCAAAAAACTAACTCCCTAATTTCTCCTCAAAGTTGAGGACTAGGAACCAATATTGTCTCTTGTGACTCGTTACATGCATTGGGTTCTTAAGAAGCTATTAGAATCCTGATCTGGATCGTAGGATAGGATTCCAGTTACACAGCCTAGATTGCAATGGGATTTTAAATTTGGTAAGATTTTAAAGTGACTACCATCCTAGTCTTAAAATAATGTAAGTCGCGTAGAATTGCACTATGATTCCAATTCTACTATGATTCCAATCCTACCAATTTTTTTTTTAAATTTTTTATATATATGTAGGTATATTTTATATCTATATAAAAGAAAATTGACTATGAACTAATTCGGTTGGTTACCAGGGTAGTTTGGTCTTTTGTTTTTTCGTCTAAGTCACCTAATTCGGTTACCATGGTGGGAAAATCACACGCTTGTGCTCCAATCCACAAATTGTTGATCAAATTGGGTCAAATTTGCATTTTTCAATGGTCAAATTTGCAAATTTAACACAAGTTCATATTTTGACAATTGATTGCATGCTACACAGGGTTAGTTTTCACAACGGTAATGCATTACTTCACTAAATGAGTTGGGCAGGAGTGTCATACGCACAACATTACATACAAATAAAATGGAGTAGACTTCTACAACTAGCCTGCATTGAAATTTTTAATCTGATACTCGTACGCATTATTTAATCTATTCATAGCATTTTGTTTCTTAACACATAATATACTTCTATACAAAAAAAAAAAAGAAAAAAAAGAAGAAGAAGAAGAAGAAGAAGAAGGGTGGTGCAATTTGCACTTCCTTTTGTACAAAAATATTCCTTTTTTTGTCTTTATTTTGCAAAATTACAATAAAATCCTCGTTTTCTTTCACTGTTCAAAAAGTTTTGTAGAATGAAGATAAAAAATGGAGCATGAATAGAAACACCCATAAAAGATTGATTAAATATATATATGTATACACACCTTGAAGGGTGAAGGCTCTCCTGTGATTAAGGTTTTTTTGTAAAGATGCTCTTGCACTTTTGCTTCCATTTTTGCTAATGCTCCTGCTCCTGCTCCTGCTCCTGCTCCTACTCCTGCTTGATGATTTGGTTACTTAGCTTTTTGTGTACACCGCATGCTCAGTTGGTTCCCATTTTAGTGGCGTTTATTTAATGAAATTTTACTTATAAAAAATAATAATTAAAAAAAAATCTACATTTTAAAATTCGTACTTGGTGTTTTAGTTGATTATGATATCTATGTTTTTATTAAGTTAAAATTCTCTCTCTCTCTCTCTCTATATATATATATACATATCTGTGTGTGTGTGGTTACAGGTCGGTATTTAATTTGGTTTTCACTTTTAGTTTTATTTTTATTTTGCGGTGGGAGGTGGGGGCGCTATATTATTGTTTAAGATTGAGAGTGTTGACAATAATTGGACAGTAGCTGAGATTAAGTATGACTGACTTCGCATCGTTTTTGTTTTTGACTCAAATGGTCACAGTTGCTGGTACGTCTGCTCGTCCTCGCACATTTAAACAGGTAGTTCTCTATACTTTGATTTCTTGTACCTGTGCTCGGTTCTGATTATAGTGAAGCATAGAAAGTATTTTCACATGGCATCTGAAAGTGAAATCCATCATTTTGAATTGCTTCATTTTGGAATATGAAATTTTGTCACAAATGATGCGGAAAATTCTACTTAGTATATTTTCAAATTTCTCAAAAGTATCCTTGCAACTATAATCTGTGATATGCGGACATGGTTAGGGTGCTAGTTTTTACATTGAAATGCAGCGGCAAAGGACAATGCAGTTCTCCAAAATCTATGCATGAGAATGTGACTATAATAAGTGACAGAACACTATGAGGTCATTGGGATCTTAATGTTGTTCAAATACATTCTTTGATACTGCTGTCTGTTGTAGTTACATCCACTTCTGGATGCATCTTATTTAGCCTATTTGATGTTGTTAGGCAGAAGCCAAAGAGGAGGAAGAAGAGAGATCCGAGGAAGAATCCGAAGAGGAGTCTGACGAAAAACCTGAAGTGAGTAAATTTATGACTTGTTTCTCTGCAAAGATTTTTTTTTTTCCTTTTCTTTTCAGATTGTGTTTGGGTTTCACGTCTTCCTTGATTTAAGGAATGATTAATCAGATTAAATGAGCCTGTCTTTATGTTGTCAATGTGTAAAGCGGAAGGGCACTCAAGGTGTTATTGAGATTGAGAATCCTAATTTGGTGAAGCCAAAGAACTTGAAAGCTAGAGATGTGGATGTAAGTTGTACAAATTATTTGTGGTGGTTTAAATAATTAAGTTATGCGGTAAACATAATATTTGATATTTTTTGTTTTGCAGATTGAGAAAACAACTGAACTCTCGAGACGTGAAAGGTTTGTGAATCCTTGTTCGTAAATAGGGACTTGTTCTTTTTTTTATTTTATTATTATCACTTGTTGGGTCAAGGATTGCTAATGTCTCTAGTGCTCAACCTTTTATCTACACATAAATATCACCCCCTTTTCTTTTTTTCCTTTTTGTTAACTGTACTGGCCAATCCCATCATGGCAATTATCAGCACTGCTATGCGTTTTCTCATTATTCATATATCTGTCAGTTGTTCGGTTTCAAATGGTGCTAAAACATGTTTTGGTCCAACAACTTTCTTGATTGGGTATATCTCAATTTAGTTAGAGTCCATTAGGATTTAGAAGTCTTATTGAGAAAGCCTTTCAGCTGCATTGTCAACTTTCACCTTGGAAACCACATCAACATTTGCTTGAGTCAGTCATTATGGTAACCACATTAATGACAACTCCTTAGGTCAATTGCTAGGAGACCTACGAGTCTCTGCCAAAACTGTAAATTTTATTTGATACTTCTCGAGAAGTATAATGTTGTGTAAGATTAATCTCAGAATGAGCTAGAAACGGTATGCTGCCATGGCCAACCAGCTTCATCAACTAGGTGCCATTGAATAGATTCTTGATTGTTCTTGCTTACAAGCGTGTATAATATTCCTGGATGCGAGTATAACTAAATTGCTTATCTGCCAGCTATGTCCTTTGTCATTTTGTATTTCTACCAATTGTCTGTTTTGTGAGATATTTGCAATTGAAACAGTGAACCCTATATGCTTTTCTTATTTGTTCACAGGGAAGAGATAGAGAAACAGAAAGCTCATGAAAGATACATGAGGCTGCAAGAACAAGGAAAAACAGAACAAGCAAAGAAAGATTTAGGTATGTCAGCCATTATTAATTAATAGGTGACTCTAGTATTCTAAAGGATCTTGCTATTATATTTGTAACTGATATTTGCATATTAGGCATCTCATGAGGTGGACATTTCTTGAATAATTTGTACAGTGGGACAGATTTGTGTCAGTGGAATGACATCTTTAACTTATTTGGAAAGAAAGAGAAAAATCTACAGCACTTGTTTGAGAATTGAGCTTTGATGATTAGATATTTGTGGAAACATTTTACTTCTACTTTGTGGAAACATGTCCAATGGTGTTGACTCCACAGGTTAGGCTCCTGAGGAGATGTAGACCAACATTATGCTCCACTTTGGGGTTGAGTAAAGACATCTTGGGATAGATTATGCAGTTCCCAAGCTTTTGATCCTAAGCAAAGTGACCTAGGCATCTCTTGGTGCTCTCAAGGCATCGCTTGATTGGGCCAAGCATATCTCTGCCTGAACGTGCCACCTCCTTGAAAGACACTCTTGGCTAGGCAAGCAGCCCCTTGTTGAGTCTGTCCCCTGATCCCAGTGTCAATCTCCAAGAGCTAGACGCGTTCACTCTTCGGTGAGTGCACCCTTTCTTTATGGCTCATGTTCTATCTTGCCTCTATTGGGTGGAGTGCCTCCCACATTGAGCATGCACTTCGAGTACTGCTCTACCAAAGAGGACATTGATGCTGCCATGCTAGCCTAGGTCGAGAGCAGGGCTGGAACCCCCAGGAGGTTTGTCCCTCAATAAATGGGACACTTAGAGACCTATCGCTGGATTACCAGATGACTTGCAGCTTGGAGGCTGGGGTTGAGGGTTCATCAAGGTACCCATGTCTCCTCTCTTGAGTGGAACTGGCTTCACCCTGACCAGTCTTATAGAAAGAGACCAGTGACCACCACAAGAAGCCAAGGAATGTTAATCAGAACTTGTGACTAAGCATATACACATGCACCGCACCTAATCTGATACAATCTTTCAGGTTTAACATACTTGCCACTGTAGGTTCTCCACTACCATTCTCTCTCTCCCCCCTAGGGCTGCCTCTACTCTTACCTCTGGTGGTCTTGTGTCAGTAGGCTCTCTTCCTAGAAAGCCACACTCAAGTCTGCTCAGCTGTAACCATTTACAACGTGGATGTAGAGATTGCATATATTTGGGCCCAATTGATGGTGTATTGGAGATCCTTCAGTAAGATTATTATTTTTCTTGAGCTTTGTAACCTAACATAATGGTTTTGTAGATTAAGTTGAACTTTGAAGACCTAGTATTTGATTGGTAATACAGATTTTCCAATTCTAAGATACTAGTATTTGGGTGTTATATTGACTTCTGAAGGTATTTACCAATGCTTGGGTGGTCAATAATATGCTCCTAATTTTTTTATTTTTTTTTGAAGAGTTTGACCACGGCCAGTATGGAATCTTGAGAAATTTGACGGGTCTGGAAAATTGTAAACACATGCATGTTCATATATATTTTTATTTTTCCTTCCCCTATCCCACAAAAAATCTACCCACCTTCCAGCATTGAGAAGCTGAAATAGAACATCACTTCTAGAGTGTTTTGCGTAACTAATTGCATTTTAGATTTATAAGCCTATGACTTTTACACATGATCCTTTTTTCAACTTTAGCCAAAAGCTTGTCTTGTTTCTTTTGCTGATTTTTTTGTTTGCTGGATAAAGTTTGTAGTCATCTACAGAAATCTTTAAAATTATTGAGAATATGCTATCGTGATGACTGGCATGTAGGATGAACAATACTGCTTGTATCCAATATTATGTGTCTGCTACGTTTCCATTATTCTGATTATTTCCCACTCTTCCAGTATATCTAAATTTTGATATTAGAATATTGTATTCTATAGGTGTAGAGTAGGACTTTGACTGAAGTGTTGCTCATTTCGAAGGCATTGCTAGCTCTAGTGGCAGATCCATGTGATAGTTTAATTATATTTACTTTTTACACCTAAAATGTAAAGAAAAACCAACTTCAGCACAAGAAAATAGTAAGACAATAAATTCTAATTAAAATTCTATTAAGACGAACAACAAAAGGCTTAAAAGCTGTTGAATTTGAGAACATTGTGTACCCTTCAAGTGGAGGTTATTTGAGTATCACAAATTTAACACTCTTAAGCCTACTATTTTACCTTTCTATTATTTCATTTACTTTCTTCACATATGATACTATAGATAACAAATTTTCAATTACATAAATACTTGTATGTTTCCACATCGTATTCTTCATTATATGTATGTATGTGGCCTTGCAGAGCGGTTGGCCCTTATACGACAACAAAGAGCTGAGGCTGCTAAAAAACGAGAAGAAGAAAAAGCTGGTAAATGATCCTAATATTCCGAGTTTGGCACAATGACTTCTTTGCCTCAAATTTCTTTGCGTTTTATGACAACGAAACTGATCTGTGCATTTTATTTGTTGCAGCCAGAGAACAGAAGAAAGTCGAAGCTCGCAAATGATCAATGATGGCTGCCATGAAAATTTCAATTCGAAACTGTAATCCCTGTGGTAGTTTAAAAAAAAAATACATTTGCTTTTTTAGTTGGTTGGTTGGTTTACAATCAAGGAACCATTTTTATGCCAAGGCTGGCTATTGTGAAAACTATTTCGCCTTACTTTTGGCTCGCTATATTTGACCATGTATTATGTCTTTAAAGAAATAGAATTTTAATACTTCTCATAAGTTTTAGCCTTCTATTCTGTATATAGGAATTGGTACTACCTTATATGTTAATGAGTTATGCTTAAGAATTCTATATTGATTCCCAGGAAATTTGATTGGTTGTTTGATTCCTAGTCAATGTGGGGAAGAAAAGGTAATGGGAACAGAGGTTAGTTTCTCCAAGTTGGGTTTTCCTAGTGGGGGAAGCTCTACAGTGAAATTTTTTTTGGTGGATGTTAGTAGATTTGTATAGTTAGATCACCAGCATCTAATGCCTCTTCTTGAGTCATGATCACTTGGATTACAGGTTGGAACTTCAAATTCATGTAGTTGCATATTCTAAATTTAATAATGTCAGGTGTCATGAAAAAGAGTATCATGAAAAGTTTTCAAGAAGATTCTTCACTCTTGGATTAGTTTTTAGTGTTTATAGTATTTTATTGTGTTATGTAATCACCTTTGGATTAGTTTCATGATATTTATTTTATGGTGTGTAGCATTACACTTCTAAATTAAGAGATGGTGTTGTTTGGTGTAGTTTGAATGCGGTCTTCAAATGTTCATAATTTTAATTGTGATATATTTTTAACATTTTTAAATATAGAAAAATGTTGGAAATTTTAAATGTTTTATAACATTATATCATATGAGTTTCATGTGGGTTTCATGTTTATGTGAGGCATTTGATAGAATATTTGATAAAATATTTAAAATTCTTAGCATTATTCTTAAATATATTAATTGGTTTATTGATTTATTAATCAAATAAATTTATGTGATTAAAAATTTAAAAGAGTAATATAATTTTTAAAATTATAAGAGATAATTTATATTTTAAGCTTGTGTTTGGCAAGTAGGTTTGTAGGCTTTTTTGGTTATTTTAGCCACAAAAAATAAAATAGGTTATTTTAGCCATAACAAATAAAACATCACATCCAACTTATAATCATTGTCCTTCCCAAACTAAACTTTTAAGCCCAGGCTAAAATAGCCCAAAAAGTCAAAAAGTCAACCCACTTCCCAAACATAGGCTAAATAAATTTCAATGATTGCATTTGTAATTTATTCTCTTTTTTATATTGTTTATAAAAAGATAAATTACATTCATCCCTCTTAAAATTTTAAAAAAATACAATTAATTTTATAAATTTAACATAATTGCAATAACTTGACATTTTACAAGATTAAAAAATAATAAAATAATAATCAAACCATTGAAATAAAAAAAAAAATTATATTAAGGGAGCTTTTTTGATAAATCCATTTTCTAAGAGTTTTATTCCATCCAACCCATATTCTTTTTGACTATTCCATTAGGTCCAATTTGAGATAAGAAGACCAAAATACCCTTTTCATCTACTTATGTTCCATTTAGTTCAAATTATTTTCTTATATTTCAATAAGTCCTATGGGTGACATAATTACCAAAATACCCTTAATGTGAATGTTCACACCATCAACGTAAATGTTCATATCGTCAATGTGTAGGGGCCTGGCCCATGTCGATCCTCATGGGTGCCCGGAAAAATTCGAGTCGGGCCGGGCCGGCCCACAGGCCAAAAAAATAGGCCCGGCTCGGCCTGTTGATGATTTGAATATTCACATTGACAAGTTAACATTCACATTGATAGGAGTGTAAAATTGGTCTGCGGCCTGTGGGCGGCCCGAAACCAGCCCGCCGCCTGGGGCGGGCCCGGACCGGCCCGTTCACAATGTGAATATTCACATTGACATATTAATATTAACATTAACAATAACATTGACAAGAGTGTAAAATTGGCCCATGACCCGTGGGCAGCCCGGGCCCGGGTCGGGGCGGGCCCGGCCCATTGACAATGTGAATATTCACATTGACATATTAACATTCACATTGATAGGAGTGTATAATTGGCCCGTGGCCCGTGGGCGGCCCGAAACCCGCCAGCTGCCCAGGGCGGGCCCGGCCCGGCTCGTTGATAATGTGAATATTCATATTGACATATTAACATTAACATTGATAAGAGTGTAAAATTGGCCCGTGACCCGTGAGCAGCCCGAAGCCCGGCCCGGCCCGTTGACAACGTGAATATTCACATTGACATATTAACATTCACATTGATAAGAGTGTAACATTAGCCCGTGCCCCATGGCTGCCCGAAATACGCCTACGGTCCGTGGGCGGCCCGAGGCGGGCCCGGCCCGGCCTGAATGTGAATATTCACATTAACATGTTAACATTTACATTGATAAGAGTGTAAAATTGACTCGCGTCCCATGGGCGGCCCGGGGAGGCCCGGGTTTGGATCCGGCCTACCTCGGGCCGCGGGCGAGCTTTGGGCAGCGGACAAATTTTACATTCCTATCAATGTTAATGTTAACATGTCAATGTGAATATTCACATTGTCACGGGTCGGGCCAAGCCCGCCTCTGGCTGCGATCAGGCTTCGAGCCACCCACGGACTGCGGGCCAATTTTACACTTCTATTAATGTGAATGTTAACATGTCAATGTGAATATTCACATTGCCAACGAGCCGGGCCCGTCCCGGCCTGAGGTCAGGCTTCGTTTTACACTCCTACTAATGTGAATATTAACATGTCAATGTGAATATTCACATTGCCAACGAGCCGGGCCCGTCCCGGCCTGAGGTCAGGCTTCGGGCTGCACACGGGCCACGGGCCAATTGTACACACTTATCAATGTGAATGTTAACATGTCAATGTGAATATTCACATTGTCAACAGGCCAGGCCGGGCCCGCCTCGGGCCATCCACGGGCCGTGGGCGGGTTTCGGGCAGCCACGGGGCGCGGGCTAATTTTACACTCCTATTAATGTGCATGTTAACACGTCAATATGAATATTCACATTGTCACGAGTCGGGCCAAGCCCGCCTCGGGCTGCGGTCGGGCTTCGGGCCGTCCACGGGCTGCGGGCCAATTTTACACTCTTATCAATGTGAATGTTAACATGTCAATATGAATATTCACATTGTCAACAGGCCGGGCCGGGCCCGTTCCTGGCAGTGGGCGGGCTTTTGGCCGTCCATGGGCCGCGGGCCAATTTTATACTCTTATCAATGTAAATGTTAACATGTCAATGCGAATATTCACATTGTCAACGGGCCGCCCATGGGCCGCGGACGGGTTTCGAGCCACTACGGGACGGGGCCAATTTTACACTCCTATTAATGTGAATGTTAACATGTCAATGTGAATATTCACATTGTCAACGGGTCGGGCCGGGTCGGCCCGCCCTGGACTGCTGTCCAGTTTTATACTCTTATCAATGTGAACGTTAACATGTTAATGTGAACGTTCACATTGTCAACAGGCAGGGCCGGGCCCGCCCACGGCCCGTGGGCGGGTTTCGGGCAGCCATGAGGTGCGGGCTAATTTTACACCTATCAATGTGAATGTTAACATGTCAATGTGAATATTCACATTGTCAACGGGTCTGGCCAGGCCCGCCCCGGGCCGCGGGCAGGCTTTTGGCCGCCCATGGGCCGCGGCCCAATTTTATACTCTGATCAATGTGAATGTTAACATGTCAATGTGAATATTCACATTGTCAATGGGCCGGACCGGGCCCGCCTCGGGCCGCCCATGGGCCGCGGGCGAGTTTCGCACCATCACGGGACGGGGGCCAATTTTACACTCCTATTAATGTGAATGTTAACATGTCAATGTGAATATTCACATTGTCAACTGGCCGGGACGGGTCGGGCCCGCCCTGGGCTGCTGTCCAGTTTTATACTCTTATCAATGTAAATGTTAATATGTCAATGTGAACATTCACATTGTCAACAGGCCGGGCCCACCCACGGGCCGTGGGCGGGTTTTGGGCAGCCACGAGGCGCGGACTAATTTTATACTCCTATCAATGTGAATGTTAACATATCAATGTGAATATTCACATTGTCAACGGGCCGGGCCGGGTCGAGCCCGCCCTGGGCTGCTGTCCAGTTTTATACTCTTATCAATGTGAATGTTAACATGCCAATGTGAACATTCACATTGTCAACAGGCCGGGCCGGGCCCGCCCACCGGCCGTGGGCGGGTTTTGGGCAGCCACGAGGCGCGGGCTAATTTTATACTCCTATAAATGTGAATGTTAACATGTCAATGTGAATATTCACATTGTCAATGGGCCGGGCCGGGCCCGCCCCGGGCCACGAGTGGGCTTTTGGCCGCCCATGGGCCGCGGCCCAATTTTATGCTCTTATTAATGTGAATGTTAACATGTCAATGTGAATATTCACATTGTCAACGGGCTGGACCGGGACCGCCCCGGGCCGGCCATGGGTCGCAGGCGGGTTTCGCGCCGCCACGGGACAGGGATCAATTTTACATTTCTATTAATGTGAATGTTAATATGTCAATGTGAATATTCACATTGTCAACGGGCCGGGCTTGCCCCGGCTCGCAGCCGGGTTTCGGGCCGCCTACGGGTCAATTTTACATTCTTACCAATGTGAATTTTAAAATATGAATGTTCACATCATTAAATTGCTAATCGTTCAAAAAATATTTATAAGGGTATCAAAATTAAATATAAGGGCATAAGTGTCCAAGAAAATAGTGTAAATCAAGAAAATGGACTTTATGGAATAAAACTATACATACATAGGACTAAATGGATTAAAAAATTCATTCATAAACTTCTTGAATTAAAACACTTCTAAATTGGACTTATCAATAAAAATTCCTTATATTAACCTCCCCTAAAATATTCAAATAAAATATTAACCTCATAAACTTAGATCGACAAAATCACCCTTCACTTCACTTCCAGACGAGGCAGACTGTACTGAGCTCCCAACCATGACAGACAACAACCCAAACCCTAACCCTAACCCTAACCCTAACCCTCCACAAAACCTCCCACCTCCTCCTCCTCCTCCAAATTCTAGGGTTGCAGGCGAAAGTGGTTCCAACAGAAGCAGCGCATACGGTGGTCAGAAGCCCCATTACCCTAACCCACCCGACGCAACGAACCCAGACGCTGCCACCCTCAGGGAGCAATGGAGGTTCGCCATCAAGCAGTACAGCCGATGGTACTCCCAAGCCTGGGGCACCGCCATACTCGCTGGTCTCTCTTTCTTCGCCCTCGGTTGGATCATCAAAGGCTCCAATCCTCTCCCTTCCTTCGTCAAGCACGAAGACGAAACCAAACAACGAGATCAACGGCAACAAGGCGGCCATGATGATGATCATCAATCTCCCAAATCGTGATCTCAATTGTGGGTGAGTACCTTCAAGTAGTTATAAATTTTGATTTTTTGTTGTTCATAGATGATCTGGATTTTAGGTTTTGGACCTTTCTGTTGGGGATTTGATTTGGGTTTATTAATTTTTGTTAGAATTTTGGGTTTTGAGCTAGTTCTGATGAATTGGCTTTTGGGTTTAGTATTATTGGGTGATCATATTAGATGCTTTTGCGATGAATCCAGTCTGGTTAGGGATTTGTTATAATAAGACACTGTGTTGCAACATAATAATCTTTTGAAGTTTTGTATACTTTAGGCAACATAAAATGATTACTGTAGAAACTCTGGAGAATTAACCTCCATCTTGGTTCTAGGGCGTGCGCTTGATTTTCTAATGAGGGTTGTAGGATTCTCAGTTCATGGGATTGTCCTGCATTTAAAAGGGGTGGATCATTTCCACCCCTTTTGTTCTACCCGTGTTGTTTTATATTCTTTCTTCCTTTGGTTTTGTCACCAATCTGCACCGACGATTTTTATGCTAATCTTTGATTCATTTGTGGTATATGTTTGAAATAATTACCATTTTAAAGAGATGTAGCTCTTCACATGGCAAGTAAAAAAAGGGGGGAAAAAAAGAAAAAAGAAAAGAAAAATCAGATTTTTCTTTTATAATTATGGTCGTACGTAATGAGGTAAAATGACAACTTAACAAGAAATCCTACCTCTGAATTGTATATCATAAGATCCATAATGTTGCTTCGACACATCATGCTGTTGATGGTAGTAGCTAAATCCCAATATAATTCATGCTGTTGATACCTTGTTGAGGGGCTTGATAAAGCAGCTCGATTCTCATCTCTGTCTCCCTCTCTCTCAGTTTGGATTGCAACAGTTTCTTTTTAATTTAAATTGCTTTCTCCTTTAGGTTTTACTAGCTGATGAACGTTTTTCAGTTTATTCTCTATAATTTTTTAGTTCAATATTTCTTTCCGTTTTCCTGTTTTTCTGCATTCACTGTCTATTAGAGCTTCACGATATGGAGATATCTCGTGAGGTTTAAACCAGTGATATAGCAAAATAAGAGCTTCAGAATCCCCTTTTGATCCTGAAATGATCAGTTGGAAGAGATCTTTAGAAGAACACTCTTGGACATTTATGAACAATACCTTTGTGCACAGGACTAGTTGTAAATACTCTCACTTTCAGATTATTTGATTGATGGATCATTAAACTACTAGCAATCTTTCCTTGTTCACTTGTGTTCAGTATCAGGTAAAGTGAGTCTCTCTCTCTATCTTTTCACTGCAATAGCAAATTAACCACTTATGCCTATATTGTGGCCTTGACATCATATTGATGACCAATGGCCCAAGTAGTGGTCACATATCAAACACAAAAATATCAATTCAAAGCTGCAAAATCCACATAATTACTCCACTTGATTATGCAAGGCTTATGTTGGTGTACCTGGCTCCTCAAGGAATTGCATCTGGTCTAAGTTATTACAGTTGTCATACATATGTCTGGACTGTTATGCCAGGAAATTTCCATTTCCGTTGGATTCAAAGCCTTGAATAAGTATAATTTATCCCAAAAAAAAGAAGAAGAAGCCTTGATTTTGTATATAAGACATGCCTCTAAATGAACTAAATATCCTTTTTGTGTGACCAGTAGACTTCCTTATGCAAACCCTTTGAATCATGAGTCTTGATATGTATGGTTTTTGCTTGAATGCACAGTTCACAAAATCAGAAGCATACGGAGTTTGATCAAGAGTGCAGCCATCACATGGTATGCTGTACACTTGAGGACACCCTTTCCTTGACTGTTATCACATTTCATATTGACCTTTATTTCTGATAGTGAGCCTTCAATCACTTTGAGAACTGTGTTTAAATATCCAGTGTATTATAATTTCTTTATGAAAGTCTTTATTACCTTGCCAGACAAAAATTTTCATTAAAGGACCTGAGTTTTATTCCTTTTCTCATTTTGATTCCTTAATTGTGTTCATCGAAGCTGGGTTGTTGACAGCACTTGATTCAATAGTTATTTGCCAAGGTGACCACTTGCTGAGGTGAGTTTCTTTGGTGTTATATTGAAACAGATTGCAGAGGAATGAGCCTCAACTTTGGTTGTATCACAACTTATTGATGCTAGCTGGCTAACTGTGCAACATATAATTGCTTTTTCCTCTATATGCAACTCCTTGGATTTCTAAGTCTATTTGGGATCAATGATTGCAGATACCCAGACGCAAAGAAGAGACACCATAAATAGCCGGGTCTCCAAGAACAAGCTTCCTTTGAAGGTGAGAACTTGGTTCATGCACAAAGAGACGAGTTCTGTGAGTGCTTTACATAACTTAACACTATATGGATGTATATTGCATGTGGAATGTGTTAAATTCACTTCTTTGGCAACCTTTTGCCCATCAATGTTTATGTCTGAGTTGTATTACAGATACGATTTCAAAGAAGTGGTTTGTCACAAGCTAGCTTTTAAAATCCTTTTATTTTTAATTTTTTTTTTCTCCTGATATTCATCTCAGTGGTATTACAGATATGATTTCAAAGAGAACTTTGTTTTGAGGGCAGGGAGTATGAGTGGAAGGCTGTTCCTTTTGGGCTATGTTTTGTGGCAGAGTACATGGCTCTACTCTTATCTTCAGGGTCCCAACTGCCTCCAATTTCACAGCTTTAACCAGAGTTGAGAATTACTATGAAATAATCAAGCGTAAAAGAACAACTATTTTTCCAACAAGAAATTATTTTTTTCATTCCACTGTTTGGATTGAAAGGTGTTTGGGCTCAGGAGGTTTACTACCGGTCTTACAGATTCTTTTAACAACTATTTTTTCAATTTAATGGTGCTTGTTCGGTTTACTATAGGTCTCATTCAAATTCCTTTACTCTGTGTTTTTCTATGGTCTATGGATTTGAAGAGTGATTTGAAAAGGAAAAGATGGATTTGAAGAGTGATTTGGAAAGGAAAATAAAAAAAGTGTGAGAAATATAGTTATATGTAATTCACATTTTATTAAATTCACATTTGTTTTTTTTCTTTTCATTTTCAAATCACTCGTTAAATTCATGAACCAAACACAACTAGATAGATTTTTTACATAGATTACTTCTGATTATTTATTTATTTATTGTTTAGATAATTTTTTTGGTAATCATAATTTTAAAAATAAGTTGTCAATTTTTTTGAAAATAATATATAGAAATTGATTCTCAATTACACCTTTAATGGCAAATAATTTTGAAAGGAGAGGAGTATGACGAAAATTGATTTGTTGGTATTATTTATCACAATCTCATTAGAAATGTAATTAGCGGTGATGAGATGGGGGATGGGCATTTTTCATAGAAATTATGTGATTACGTGTATTGGATTAATTTGATTATTTGCATACATGGTTTTTCCACGTTTGATCATACAAGATGTGTGATTCGGATTAATAATGGATTCTGCATTCCCGTTGAAACTTGGGATTCCGATTAGTTTTGTCACGTCAGAGTACAAGAAAGAATGAAAGGAAATTTTTTTTTGAAAGAAACTAAAACCATTTACTTTCATTTTTAGTTGGGCTAGAATGATAAATGAATAAATTTAAAATATGTCCCCAAAAAGAAAAAAAAAAAATTATTATTTTATTTTCCAGAAAGATTATGAATGATCCATTAAAATTTTTTTTTTGAGGAATAAATAAACTCTCTATAACTCAAATACCAATGCATACCCTGAGCTTGCTTTATCCATATAATTTAGATGTCACGCTTTGTTTTTGGTTTTCCCATCTCTTTTGGTTGGGCAGGGAAATGAGAATAAACGAATAGATGTTGTTTAAAAAAAAAAAAAAAAGTGTAATCGCTCAAAAATGAATTCAAAAAATTGAATGTGCAAGTGATTTCAATTTTTTTTTTTTCTTTACAAATTGAAGATTGAAATAAACTAAGAATCCTTTGAACCAGGATCCACGTTTTCCAGACTTACGACGAGCAACACCCACCTTTTTTCACAGCAGATACATCGTCCCTGGATCCGATACTGATCGTCTGTCGCAGGTCATCGCCTATGTCATAGTGCCTTCCTCGCTGACGACTCGATGATTTGTGTCAGCACGTCTGTGAAGGCATTATCGACATTCAAAGACTCGAGAGCTGATGTTTCCATGAAAAAATTGTTCTCCCTTTCAGAAAATGCCTTGGCATCTTCAACTGACACTGCTCGGAGGTGACGCAGATCAGCCTTGTTCCCGACGAGCATGATGACGATGTTGGAGTCTGTGTGACCCCGAAGCTCCTTCAACCATCTCTCCACATTTTCAAACGTGACGTGCCGGGTAACATCATACACGAGCAAAGCACCAACGGCTCCACGATAATAAGCACTTGTGATTGCACGGTACCTTTGGGGAAAGAAAATGTTGAATCAGATGGAAAAATTCACAAAAGAATCATACTGACCAAACTAATTTGAGATTCTTGCAAGCATTGAAGAGCTAATTCAAGAATGGAAGCTGCAAATCAAATTGCTTGTATAACCAGGTTTTCATGCTAACTTGAATTCCATTCAGCAGTGTATATGTACTGCTAAAGCATCTACTGGAGAATATAAATATAAGAACTCACAGGATTGTGGACATGGATTTTTACAGAAATAAAGTATTCGATGGGCTCTACACATTAAATTGTTTGGATTATCAAAATAGGACCCGTGGTGAGCTCCACGGGCCTAACAGCACCGTCCAATTCACAAAGTGGACTCGAAAAAAGCCTTGCCCTTAGATATCAATGTAGAACAGCAACATTTCACAAAAAAGTTCATTGTCATAATGTGTCCTACATCCATTGACAGAAGTAAACTCGGCCAAGGAGGTCGGCCTGGGTCCGAGTGATCTCTAGGAGCCCTACCATTTCGATACAACTTTCCTTTCTCCTATTTCTCTCTTACAGAATATAAAAAGAACTCTCAAGCCCGACAATCGAAAAGTTATATGCTCAAAATTCACAGAAGCTGCATTCATAATATGGGGTTTTCAAACTTTAAGGGGGCAGTGGCCCAGACGCAGTCATAGGTCCATCCCTTGCTACAATTGAAAGGCCACAATGTGCCCCACCCAGATTGATGACATAATTTAACTTGTGCAATCCAATGCTTTGCAAAACAGAGACAGATTGCTTGAAATTGGTATTCAATTATGCAAAAGGAACAACTTGTATACATTAGACCATCTCCACCGGTGAATGAAATTCACCATCAAATTTGAATTTGGTGAAAAAATATCACTTTTATGGTTCTAACGGTTTCATCAAACGGATATCAAATTGAGAATTCACCAAAAGTTTCACCAAAATGAGAAGCGGAGCAGATTTTACCAAAACACTGTGCGTTTATGTTGGAGGTAGGTCCCACCGGACAACCGGCCGGACGTCCCCCCGGATGACCACCTTAAGCAAAATTTTGTGAAAATTTTACACTGGGCGGTCGACCACCCGGTCGACCACCTCTTTATTTTCTCAATTTTTCATTTTTTGCATTGGCCGATTGTCCACCCAGTCGACTAGCCGGTCGTCCGCCCGGTCGACCGGTAGTTTGATGAAAAGTTAAATTTCTCCATTGGAGCAGGTGATATCAAATAGAAGAAATCGTTTTTTTTTTTGCTCATATTTGATGAAAAATCTGATGAACCATTGGAAATGTTCTTAGCTCCTTTGAACTTTCATTTCAACAGGAAAAAGGCATATACAATTTTTGAGATTTTTTTTTTTTTAATTTTGCAAACATAAAGAAAATATTTTAAATAAAAAATTACAAAAATATCATTAGAGTGAAATGTCAATGACATTTTAAAAATTATGAGAACAATAATGATTGTTTTGATTGAAAATAAAGAGACTACTATAAACCATATTATATATGAAAATTTTATGAAAATTTTTGAATGTAATGGTGATGTCATTATTAGTAACATGCAAGTATAAGTAATCTCACTATAAAGATATGAAATTTATTGGATTGTTAATTACATTTGACATGTGACGTTCACTCTCTATGTGTTTATTTACTATTAGTGGGTGATATCACATACCAATAATGACGTGATATTATCATTATATTGAATTTCTAATCAAATTTTGTATACAATTATTATATAATTTATTTTAAGACTTATATCCATATATTTTTTTTATTGTCCATGATATATTAATTACAAATAACATTTAGTATTTTTTAGATGTTTATTGAAATCAATTGTAAAAACTTGTGTGAAATATTTTTGTAAAAAATTTCGATATTGCAATTAATAAGTGTCTTTTCTAATTTAATTTTCTGGTTCCGCCACTAGAAATATACTTGTAGATAAATTGTACACAAAAGATAAAGCGAAACTACCCAACATGAATTTCAGATATTCAGGGATTGTTTGGGGTGTTCTAAAAAAGTGCATTTTTTGTCTTTTTGGACTAAAAAATTGAGGAAGAAAATGTAAAAAATTTCGATATTGCAATTAATAAGTGTCTTTTCTAATTTAATTTTCTGGTTCCGCCACTAGAAATATACTTGTAGATAAATTGTACACAAAAGATAAAGCGAAACTACCCAACATGAATTTCAGATATTCAGGGGCTGTTTGGGGTGTTCTAAAAAAGTGCATTTTTTGTCTTTTTAGACTAAAAAATTGAGGAAGAAAATATGGATGTTTGGGTTAACTTTTTGCCTTTTTATGAAAAAATGTGTAATAAAAAATTGTAAAAATTGATTTGTAGGAAAAAATTAGGATTGTGAATTGTGCCGCCGTAATTGTTGACTTTTGGTGAATAGTGTTAACTTTTTAACTTATTGAGTAACTTTTTAACTTTTTGACAATATGTCACACTTGGCCTCAATCTCCATTATGAATCATTCACTAGAAACCTTTTACATTTATGTTACATATTGAAACATCTTTGAAGATGGTCTCCTCAAATACCATTTTGGCTTCAATGTGGTTGTTATTAATGCTACAAATTGATCATCATGAGCCATTTATTCTCGTCCCCAAACACTTTCACATATTTCTAATTTTCATGATACATTTTGATACCAATGCTAATGACATTACCAATAGAAAACAAAACTATACAAAAAGAGGGAAAAAAAGAAAAAAAAGGTTGTTGGGAATCCAAATAATCCAATCCCATGCATCATTCCAATGCTAGCAAAAATGCCTTGTTTGGTTCCCATGAAAATCATTCATTAATTGCAATTAGAGAAGACATTAAATTCATGACAATTCAATGTATACCCCCAAAAAATAAAAACGTGACTCAAAAATTTCTCTCGATTTTACCAGGAACCAAACAGAAAATGTACATGATAAAACCAAAAAACAAAAAAAAAAAAAAAAAACGAAAAACCCATATCTAAAAATAAAAAAGATTATACCTTTCTTGGCCAGCGGTGTCCCAAATCTGGGCCTTGACGATCTTATCATCGACCTGAATGCTTCGAGTGGCGAATTCGACGCCGATTGTGGATTTGGATTCGAGGCTGAACTCGTTGCGTGTGAATCGAGACAATAGGTTTGATTTTCCGACCCCAGAATCTCCGATCAATACCACCTTGAACAAGTAATCGTAATCGTCGTCTGCTCTATAGGGCCCCATCATTTCCTTAGCATTTCATTATCATGTATACTTGTATATATATATATAGACAGAGAGAGAATTGTGGTGAAATGAATATATATATATATATATATAGAGAGAGGGAGAGAAACAGGGAATAGAGATATATATATATATATAATCGTAAATTGAAAATTGGGAATTTAATTTTGTGTACTACATTAGAGCATCGCAGCAGTTTACTTAAATTTTATCTTAAAATATTATTAAAAAATTCATTCTCTATTTTACGAATTATTTTTTCATTTACTTTTCTTATCAAATTTCCTATTATTTCTCTATTTTATTAAAATAATATTTTTAATTACTTTTACGTTTAAATATTTTTTTAATAATAAAATAATAAAAAACTAACCAAACACCAACAGCACAGTAGAGAAAAACAAATAGGGGAAGTCGATCGGGCGGTAGACCGGTTAGATCATTTTTGGGCATTTTTTTTCTTCAGCTACAGGGCACTCACGGACATCCGGGGGACGTCTGGGGGGACATCCAAGGGACTTTCCCTTCACGCCTTCAACGAAATAAAATAAGTATTTATCAGATATAAGGGAGTTACAGTAACTTCCTGCAAATAGGGAGTCACTGTAGCAAAAATTAGTATAGGTAATTGTTTAGGGGAGCTACTTGATGTGTATAAAGTGATTTCAATCTCTTAAAATAGGTAAGAGGTGAGTTTAGGGGGATTGCTGGGATGCTCTTATAGGCCTCTTTTGGGAAGAATATAAAAGTCAAAAGTGAATTTTTAACTTATTTTGAGTTATATTATCTTTTCTATTTTTTTTAAAAAATAAAAAAGTTAGCTTTTAACTAATTTTCCAAAACAACCCATAGTATTTGAATGTTCTTCAACGATTTCGTATCTATTTATATATTGTGGCGTTTTGAAAAGTTGATAAAAAGTTAACTTTTTGATTTTTTTTTTGTGTGACTTTTTGACTTTTTTGTGTAAAAAAATAGCAAGGTGATGTCATTTAAAAAAACCAAAAAGCTAGAAAACTAGCTTTTTACTATGTTGCCAAAACGCCGCATATAAGAGCATCTGTATCAAGCTCTTCAAAATCATTTTTTAGCTAAAAACTTCAAAAAATCAACTCCATCAAACTCGCTTACAGCTTGTCAAATTTTACGATGGCTATAGTAACTCGTTACAACAAATGAGGCATTGTTTATCGCTATTTGTGTGTTACCGGATGTCCGCCCAGAAGTCCGGCTGGTCAACTTGTCAACGACAAATTTTTTTTTTTTTGTTGGCTTTTTCTTTTAAGAATTGTTTGGCTGGTAACTTATCAATTTAATAAAAAAAGAAAAACTAACAAATATAATAAAAAAATAATATTTAATAAGAATAAGTTAGAAAAAAGAGTTTGATGTAGTCGGTGCTAAAAGGTGAGTAGCTAAAATAATATAATAGCTTTAATTTAACTAAAAAATTAAAGAGTTTGGTGTGGATGCTCTAAGGAAAAGGAGTTTCTAACTCGGACATAGGGTTACTTTGGAACAGCAGTAACTGTTGTGCCTCAATTTGAGATTTATTATGAGCTTATTTTTATGATTTGAACCGTTCATTTGGTAGGGTTCGTTGAGTACCTCATGCCTACCAAAATTTATATTCATCGGATATCAATAATTATGTGATCGGTTTGCATATTTTGTATGTTATTTTTCAAAAGAAAAACTTATTGTTTATTTTTTTTTATGATAAATGTAATTCGATCATATAGTTATTGATAGTCGATTAATATGATTTTTGGTAAGCATAAAACGAACTATACAAAATGAACGGTTCGGATCATAAAAATAAGTCTATAATAAATCTCAAATTGAGACATAACAGTTACTACTGTGTCAAAGGCACAACAGTAACCCCTCATCCTTCTAACTCACAAGCCTTATGGGAGCTCCAATATATCAATCTTAATTTCCCAATTTTTTGATTTAAAAAAAAAAAAAACTCAACATTTATTGACTTCTCGTAAGCCTTTTTGACTTCTCCCATACACACCATTTTCAACTTCTCCCTCCCTATTTAGTTATTTTTGAAATAATAATTATCCTAACTTTTCAACTTTTCCCATACTTATTTAATTATTTTGGAAATAATAATAGAGAGAGGGAGAGAAACAGGGAATAGAGATATATATATATATATAATCGTAAATTGAAAATTGGGAATTTAATTTTGTGTACTACATTAGAGCATCGCAGCAGTTTACTTAAATTTTATCTTAAAATATTATTAAAAAATTCATTCTCTATTTTACGAATTATTTTTTCATTTACTTTTCTCATCAAATTTCCTATTATTTCTCTATTTTATTAAAATAATATTTTTAATTACTTTTACGTTTAAATATTTTTTTAATAATAAAATAATAAAAAACTAACCAAACACCACAAGCCCAGTAGAGAAAAACAAATAGGGGTAGTCGATCGGGCAGTAGACCGACTAGATCATTTTTGAGCATTTTTTTTTCTTCAGCTACAGGGCACTCATAGACATCTGGGGGACGTCTGGGGGGACATCTAATGGACTTTCCCTTCACGCCTTCAACGAAATAAAATAAGTATTTATCAGATATAAGGGAGCTACAGTACCTTTCTACAAATAGAGAGTCACTGTAGCAAAAATTAGTATAGGTAATTGTTTAGGGGAGCTACTGGATGTGTATAAAGTGATTTCAATCTCTTAAAATAGGTAAGAGGTGAGTTTAGGGGAATTGCTGGGGATGCTCTTATAGGCCTCTTTTGGGAAGAATATAAAAGTCAAAAGTGAATTTTTTACTTATTTTGAGTCATATTATCTTTTCTATTTTTTTTAAAAAAATAAAAAAGTTAGCTTTTAACTAATTTTCCAAAACAACCCATAGTATTTGAATGTTCTTCAACGATTTCGTATCTATTTATATATTGTGGCGTTTTGAAAAGTTGATAAAAAGTTAGCTTTTTAATTTTTTTTGTGTGACTTTTTGACTTTTTTGTGTAAAAAAATAGGAAGGTGATATGATTTAAAAAAACCAAAAAGCTAGAAAGCTAGCTTTTTACTATGTTGCCAAAACGCCGCATATAAGAGCATCTGTATCAAGCTCTTCAAAATCATTTTTTAGTTAAAAACTTCAAAAAATCAACTCCATCAAACTCGTTTACAGCTCGTCAAATTTTACGATGGCTATAGTAACTCGTTACAACAAATGAGGCATTGTTCATCGTTATTTGTGTGTTACCGGATGTCCGCCCAGAAGTCCGGCTGGTCAACTTGTCAACGACAAATTTTTTTTTTTTTTTGTTGGCTTTTTCTTTTAAGAATTGTTTGGCTAGTAACTTATCAATTTAATAAAAAAAGAAAAACTAACAAATATAATAAGAAAATAATATTTAATAAGAATAAGTTAGAAAAAAGAGTTTGATGTAGTCGGTGCTAAAAGGTGAGTAGCTAAAATAATGTAATAGCTTTAATTTAACTAAAAAATTAAAGAGTTTGGTGTGGATGCTCTAAGGAAAAGGAGTTTCTAACTCGGACATAGGGTTACTTTGGAACAGCAGTAACTGTTGTGCCTCAAATTGAGATTTATTATGAGTTTATTTTTATGATTTGAACCGTTCATTTGGTAGGGTTTATTGAGTACCTCATGCCTACCAAAATTTATATTCATCGGATATCAATAATTATGTGATCGGTTTGCATATTTTGTATGCTATTTTTCAAAAGAAAAACTTATTGTTTATTTTTTTTATGATAAATGTAATTCGATCATATAGTTATTGATAGTCGATTAATATGATTTTTGGTAAGCATAAAACGAACTCTACAAAATGAACGGTTCGGATCATAAAACTAAGTCCATAATAAATCTCAAATTGAGACATAACAGTTACTACTGTGTCAAAGGCACAACAGTAACCCCTCATCCTTCTAACTCACAAGCCTTATGGGAGCTCCAATATATCAATCTTAATTTCCCAATTTTTTGATTTAAAAAAAAAAAAAACTCAACATTTATTGACTTCTCCTAAGCCTTTTTGACTTCTCCCATACACACCATTTTCAACTTCTCCCCTACCTATTTAGTTATTTTGGAAATAATAATTATCCTAACTTTTCAACTTTTCCCATACATATTTAATTATTTTGGAAATAATAATCATCCCTTAATTTATGGATTTCAAATGGAAAGATAACAAAAATAATAAACTCTCCATTCTAATTTCTCTCATTGATTTCCAAAAGAAAATATTAAAACTTGCCTTTCTTTTCTCTCCCTCAAAAAGTCAGATAATATTTTTCATAAGAATTTTGGGTATGTATCTATGTTTTATATATTATATTATAACATAACCAAAAATAAAATAAACTAAAAATCAGATATATGAACGGGTAAAATTAATAAATATGATTTTTATTTATTCAGTTAAAATCTTTCTTTTACCTCTCAATATCCAATTTTAAATTTTAAAAATCTTTAAAATCTATCAAAACAAATCTAATTTGAAAATATCTCACACCATCATACTTTAAATTAATAAAATTCATATGTCTATTACATATCTAACTCACATCATAACTTAGCCAAATAATAATAATTAAAAACAAATAGAAACCATAGATAAATTAAATTTAAAAAAAAAAGAAACCCACAATTACATCTTAAATAAGTTGAAAAAAATAAAATAAAAACCATACAAAAATAAAGAAGATAAGAATTTAAATATAGATCTCAAAAAAATGTGACAATATCTAAATTTGAATTTTGATTTAATAGTATAATCATCTATTTTTTTGATGTATATCTATCAAAATTTTAAATCGATTAATGGGACAAATTAATCAATTTTCAAGTCTTATTTAAAAAATAATCTGGTTAGTCATCCCAACTCCTAGATTTCGCGGGACTGGTGGAGGAGCTGACGGATTAGGCGGGGCGATGACTAAGTTGTTGAGGGTTAATATCCTAGCACTCCATAAATTTATTTATTTTTTAATTTTATTTTTTCCCTGTGTGATTCTCTTTCTCTGTTAACTCACAAGCTTTGTGGGAGCTCCAATATATCAATCTTAA